GAATTAGGGTTTGGGGGTGAGGGGTATGGGGGTGAAGCCACTGTGTGCCGTTCCCTGCTCCTCCTCCTCCTCCGTCTCCCTGTGCTGCAGCTGCCGCTGAGGGGGGGTGGACTTGTTGGAGCCGTTGGAGTGGTACTAAGGGGGGGTGAAGGGGGAGTGGAGCTAGCGGTGTAGCAGCGGGTGTGTGTCAGGGGGAGTGGGATAGTTTGGGGAGGTTGAAGGGGGTGGCCGCCGTGAAGCCAGCAGCTCCAGTCGCCCGTGAGACCGTTGCGCCAGTCGCCCGTGAGCCCGTTGCGCCATTCGCCCGTGAGCCAGTTGCTCCAGTCGCCCGTGAGTGCGTTGCTCGTCTGCCGCTACTTTTAGCCGCGGAGCCAGTTACTCCAGTAGCCCGTGTGCCAGTTGCTCCAGTTGCCAGTGTGCCAGTTGCTCCAGTTGCCCGTGTGCCAGTTGCTCCAGTTGCGTCGTGTGCCAGCAGCTTCAGCTGCCGCCCTCTACCTCCTCTCCTCTCATAGTCTCTTTCCTCCTCCTCACTTGCCCGTTGTGACTACTACTAGCTTTGCTCATAATTGTGAACTTTAAACTATTGCTTCTTGAACTTGTGCTCAGAATGTAAGGTGACATTGTGATCCACCCTGACCTTGTACTGCTTTGCTTGCTCTGCTGATTACACCCCACTTTGGTTATGGGGGTGTGTCAGAATATTATGCTCTAGCCTTTAGTGGGGTGCTCTATAGCGAGTACAACCCTTCTAGGGTTTGCTATTTGTATCCTCATTCTTGCTAGTGCAACCCCTTCTTCTTTCTAAACTTTTCACAAAGTCCGCCGAAAGGTGATTGCCGCAAACTACAACAACTACCGCGACATGGTCTGTGCAGCAGAGAGATTCGATGCGCTAATGCGATGTGAGCCCGAGACACGACGCCACGTGCCGAACAGATCATTCGACACTGAGCGATCGGCACCACCCACGACCGCCGACCTGATGGATATCGACAAGATCGACGCGAAGCAGAGGCCAACAGAATATGAGAAGTGCGAATTTTGCGGCGCAGCAGGACATCGACCCTTGGCGTGTTGGAAAATGAAGAAGGCACGAGCGGAGCTGCAGGGCAACAACAGTGCGACATCCACGATGGCGGAAAAAGGAGGACACGATGGCGCGAATTTAAAACGCCACAACCGGCCGGCAACAGGGGAAATCGCCGAGACAAATGGAGGCTCCGCGAAACAAGACTCTGCACTGACCGGGAAACTCCAGCCGAACACCCCCGAGAGTAAGAATATTCCCTCTCGAGGTTTTCAAGCCTTCAAAAAATTCAGGGGAGATTTCAATGCCAACAAAAAGCCTTGAGAAATTATTCAGGTACCTGAGAAGTTGGGCAAACCACTCCGGAGCGTTGAAAAGGGTCGTGCGTTCCAAGGAGTTCATATTCTCTCCCCGCAGCATAGTGTTAAGGCTCCCCATTGCTCACAGGAGAAGCCTACACAGCTGCAAATGCTGTGAAGGTTTTAGGCCAAGACAAAGCTGAATCGGCCTCAGATAAATCCTTCCAACCCTACTCAGTTTGAAACTAATATGGAGTCAGCAGCTTCGAGCGCAGGACCGAGGGATGATCTATTCGACGTACCCTACGATCCTATAAGCAAGATCATCTACGGTTACTCGGAGTAGCAACAACCACTACTACTCGAGGTGATCTGCAACGGGCGATGCCTCCACGCACTGGTGGACAGCGGTGCGTCTCACTCGGTGTGCAACCGCGGGACGTTGGAGAAAATTGGAGAATTTTCGGAGGAGACCAAGTTCTCGGCAACAATGGTGGACGGTACGAAACTTGCAGGCATACCTCCAGCACGCACCCACGAGCATGAGATCGTGGAGGAACCAGGTGCGAAACCCGTCTCACGTGCACCATACCGACTGAGTCCGACCGAACTGACAGACATGAAGAAACAGATAGAGTATCTACTGGACAGACAACTGATCCGCCCATCCACCTCTCCCTACGGTGCACCAGTTCTCTTCACTCCAGAACCAGACGGCAGTTTTCGGATGTGCATTGACTACCGCGCACTGAACAAACAGACAGTCTAAAACAAATACCCCATATCGCGCATCGACGACTTACTGGACCAACTGCGTGGTGCAACAGTCTTCTCGAAGCTGGATCTACGGTCGGGTTACTAGCAGATCAAGATGGCAAAAAACTCGATCCACAAGACGGTGTTCCGTACTCGATACGGCTCCTACAAATACTTGGTGATGCCGTTCGGACTCTGCAACGCAGCAGCAACGTTCCAGGCGGAAATGAACCATATTCTCTGGGCCCTGCTGGACGAGTGCGTAGTGGTGTACTTGGACGATATTCTTATCTACTCCACGAACATGAAGGAGCACGTGGAGCATCTGCGGAAGGTGTTCGAGATCCTGCGGAAAAACAAGTTCTACGTGAAGCTGTCGAAGAACGACTTCGCCCTGAAGAAGGTGCAGTTTCTTGGGCACATGGTGAGTGCCGAGGGCATACACGTGGACCCGCGGAAGATCGAAGCCGTCAAGAAGTGGAAAGTACCGGAGAACGTGAAGGAGTTGCAGCAGTTCCTAGGCTTCGCCAACTACTACGACAGGTTCGTGCCGCAGTACGCTAAGATAGCAGCGCCACTAACCGACCTACTGAAAAAGGATAAATGGGATACGCCTCATCACCAAGCCATGGAGCAGCTACAGACAGCACTGACTACATCGCCAGTACTCATCCTACCAGATCCAGACAAGGACTACGTGGTGGAAGCAGACGCTAGTGACCAAGCAGTCGGAGCAGTACTGATGCAGGATCACGGACGCGGTTTGCAGCCCATCGCCTACCACAGTAAGAAGCTACACAGAGCAGAACTGAACTACCCCATCCATGACAAGGAAGGTTTAGCGATCGTCATAGCCTTCAAGGCGTGGAGGTGTTACCTAGAGGGAGCCAAGACTACAGTCTATACTGACCACTGCAGTCTCAAATATCTGAAGTCGCAGCCGACACTCTCACGACGACAGGTGCGGTGGGTGGACTTCCTGGAAACTCACTTCCACTACGACATCGTCTACAAGCGCGGGCTACACAACAAAGCAAACGCGTTGAGCCGCCCCGGACATGTAGCAGGCATCCAGCTCAACGGGATGAACCCTCTACTCAAGGGTCTATTCCAACATGGGTACTCCGTGGACGCAGAGATCGCTACAGCACAGACCAAGAAGTTGTTACAGTGGGAGAAAGACTTAGCTGTAAGGAAGGGTTCAGGAAAGATTTGGGTAACGAATTACGCCCCGCTACGGCAGATCCTATTGGAGGAGTTTCACGACGTACCTTACGCGGGACATTTCGGGAGCAACAAGACGTTAGCAGGGATAGCAAAGTATTACTACTGGCCCAGGATGGCAGCAGACGTGCACCAGTTCCTCACCTCTTGCGACACGTGCCAGCGGATGAAGAGTAGCAAGCAGAAAAAAGCAGGGTTACTTCAGCCTCTACCCGTACCGGAGCAGCCATGGCAGGTCGTTAGCCTCGACTTTATCACAGGACATCCTTCGACCTCACGGGGGCACGATTCCATCCTTGTAGTAATCGATAAGTTCTCCAAAATGGGTCACTTCATACCGACCAACGCCACATCTACAGCTGAAGCAACTGCTCGCCTCTTCTTCGACCGCATCATCACCATCCACGGCATCCCCGCTACACTCATCTCAGACAGAGACCCCAAATTCACGAGTAAGTTCTGTGGAAGGAGCTCATGGGATTATTGGGGACCAAACTTGCGATGTCCTCAGCATACCACCCACAGACTGACGGACAGACAAAGCGACTCAATCAAGTGGTTGAACAGTTACTGCGCACAGCTTGCAAGGACGTCGTGAGCCAGTGGGACACACAGTTACCGACCCTAGAGTTCGCTTACAACAACGCATCACATGCGGCCACAGGGAAAACTCCTTTCTTCCTGTGTTACGGACGGGAACCACTCAGACAACAGCAGCCAACTACACCGGCATACGTCCAAGCCGCACATGACTTCGTCACCACCATGCAGCAGCTATGGGAGAAGACTCAGCGACGACTCACCACGATACAGACCTCCCAGAAGCAGTATGCCGATCGTCAGCGACGTGATCACTCAGTAGCAGTCGTAGATCAGGTGCTTCTAAACACGCGCAACTTGAACCTGTCTCACCTTTCATCCAAACTCCGGCCTCGCTTCTGTGGTCCTTTTCTCGTTGAGGCATAGGTGACACCAGTTACATTCCGCTTGCGCTTACCAGATACATGGAAGCTTCACAATGCTTTCCATGTCCAGCTACTGAAGCCCTACAAGGACCCCAACCAGCAGTTCTAGGGACGGCAACTACCGCCACCACCACCTGTTCTCATACAGGATGAACCCGAGTACGAGATCGAGCGCGTTCTCACTCATCGGCGCCGCAGCGGCAAGGCCCTCGAGTTCCTGATACGCTGGAAGGGATACGACCCCACTGAGGATAGTTAGGTTGCAGAAGCTGATATGGGCAACGCACGCCGTGCTCTCAAGGACTATCTTATCAAGCAGGGTGTATCTCACGCCACCCAGCTTTGAGGGGGGGACGTGTAAGAGTACAACGGCTTATGCCAGCTATGCTTGCTTGCCTTTACTTTATGATGCTATTTCTTGCATAGGATAATTATATGCATGCATGAATTGCTTGATTTCCTAGGCTAGGTGCTTTCCTATATTTTGATATAGTTATAGCACCGAGCTAGGTTGCGTCCACCGAATTCTGGCTATTCGGTTGCCACCGAATTGCCTTCTACCGAATTCGGGAAGGATCTGTTCGGGACGCTTCGCGACCCGCGGAACCTTCGCGTAACACCTGGTTACGGGGCCTTGTGTCGAGCCTATATATAGCCTCGTGTTGTACCCAGGTGATCATTCAATTCAATCCAATTACAATTTTCTTTTCTGAGCTCGATCCTAGATCCTCACACACTAGCACCTAGAGCAGTAGCCTCACCAGCACCTAGAGCAGCAGCCTCACCAGCACCTAGAGCAGCAGTCCCTATGCCCGGGTCAGGCGGAACACACAAGTAACAGTCACCCTCATCACTAGTAGACACAGCATACATGGCAGCAAGAATAGCATCATAGTCAAGATCAAAGATAGCAACCCCCGCCCTAGACAGCTCTCCCCAGCGAGGGATCTCAGTGGCGTGAGGGAACTGGTGACGCCAAGCGTCCGTCAGGAGGCTGAAGCAGCGCTGGGTGGAGTGCGAGCCCCCACACTACTCACCAGCGCGGTCGCCGGTACGGAGGACGTAGGTACAGGGACCAGTACCCCCACCCCGCTGACGCCCAGCGTACCACTCACGAAGCTGCTGGGGGGACGGGGTCTCACGAGTGCGCTGCTGCAGATGGCGCGGACCACCACCGGAGCCACTCCTCTGCGCAGAGCCGCGACCAGCTCCACCGCTGCCGCCGCCGCCTCCGCCACCTCCGCCTCCTCCGCTCCCACCGCCACCGCCGCCGCCTCCTCCGCCTCCACTGCTGCCACCGACACCTCCATTCCCGCCACCACTCCCACCACCACCCCCACTCCCTCCACTGCCTCCACCACCACCTCCTCCGCCCCCGCTAGCCCCTCCAGCTCCCTTGCCCCCCTTGCCCTTGCCGGTGCGGCGTCTCTCGCTAGGGGCAGACGCAGCCCCGACCGACTCGAAGCCAATGAGGTCGGCTGCAGCAGCAGAGGCAACAGAGGGCAATAGGGGGGAGGGGGAACACCCCTCAAAGACGGGGGTACGAGGGTCACCACGAGAGGCTCCTACAGCGACTATGCTCTTCTCTGCTGCCAGGAGGCGCTCCTCGAGGAGGTCAACGGTGAGTGTGGTGGGGCAAACTGAGAGGAAGTGGTCCCAGACAAGGGAGTCCGAGAGCCGGGTGACTATGTAGTAGAGGGTGATGTACATGGGGAGAGGGTTCTTCGCACAGAACTCAGCAGGAAGCGCACCGCGGTAGCGAGTGTCACTAGTGCGAAGGTGCGTAATGAGGTCAGCGACTGTGGGAAAGGCAGCAAGGTCAGGGAACAGGTACGGCAGTATGAGGCGGCTAAGAGCAGCAGTGGCAGGGGAAGAGTAGCGTGCAACTCCAGCGTCGTGAAAGGTCTTAGCACTCTTGTACTGCCTAAAGTGCGCACACTCAACGGTCGGTAAGTGGCGACGCACAGCAAGACGGGCAGCAGCATCGCGTGTGGCCCACTGTGAGCGAACAGTGCTGTCAGCATCAGCAGGCGGGGCAGGAGAGGCACCAGAGGTGAGATCAAACAGAGAGAGTCCGTCTGCCCTATCGCACTGTAGGAAGAGCTCTAGGTCATCGACCCAGACCTCGAAGTCAACAGCACGACCCTCAGCATCAAAGGTAAGGACACTGGGGGTAGCCATGATAGCAGCGGTCTAGCAGGGAGTGCTCTCACCAGTCCGGGTGGGTAGGGCCGGGGCGCGCCGGTAGGAACAGGGCTGCAACTGCGGTGGCGGCGGCTCGACAGCGGTAGTAGCGGCTCGGCGGCGGCGGCAGCTCGGTAGTGGCGGCTCGACGGCGGCCTTGGCGGCTCGGCGGCTCGGCGGTTCGGCGGCTCGGCGGCTCGGCGGCTTGGCGGCTCGGCGGCTCGGCGGCTCAGCTTCTTGGCTGCTTGGCGGCTCGGCGGCTCGGCGGCTCGGCCGCTTGGCGGCTCGGCGGCTCGGCGGTGAAGGCGCCGGGGAGGGGCCGAAAGGGGCGACGACGGGGCCGCAAGCGGCGGCGACGGGGCCGCTAAGGGCGGCGACGAGGCCGCAAGAGGGCGGGGACGGGGCCGCGAAAGGGCGGCGACGAGGCCGCAAGAGGGCGGCACTGGGGCCGCGAGAGGGCGGCGACGCGGCCGCTAGAGGGCGGCACTGGGGCCGCGAGAGGGCGGCGACGAGGCTGCGAGGAGCGGCTGCAGGGCCGCGACGGGCGGCGACGCGGCTGCTAAGGGGGGCGGCGGGGCTGCGAACGGCAGCGACGGGGTCGCGAGAGGGCGGCGACGGGGCCGTGTAGGTGGGGCCGCAAGGGGCCGCTAAGGGCGGCGCGTCGGGCCGCTCAGGGCGGCGCGACGGGCCGCTAGGGGGGGCGGCGACGGGGTCGCAAGGGGCCGTGAGAGGGGGGGGGGGGGGGGGGGGGGGGGGGCGCTAAGGGCGGCGCGACGGGTCGCTAAGGGGAGGGCGGCACACAGGGCGCGCCTCGGTCAGGGGCGACTCGATCTTAGGTGTGAGAGTACGACGGCTTATGCCAGCTATGCTTGCTTGCCTCTACTTTATCATGCTATTTCTAGCATAGGATAATCATATGCATGCATGAATTGCTTGATTTCCTAGGCTAGGTGCTTTCCTATATTTTATTATAGTTATAGCACCGAGCTAGGTTGCGTGCACCGAATTCTGGCTTTTCGGTTGCCACCGAATTGCCTTCTACCGAATTCGGTAAGGATCTGTTCGGGATGCTTCGCGACCCGCGGAACCTTCGCGTAACACCTGGTTACGGGGCCTTGTGTCGAGCCTATATATAGCCTCGTGTTGTACCCAGGTGGACATTCAATTCAATTTGAATCATCTTTTCTGAGCTCGATCCCAGATCCTCACACTTGGTAATCAGAGCGGGTTTACACGCGAGGTCTTTTACCGCTTAGTTCCGGCCTTTAAAAACCGCGGGGGCGACGACGAAAGCGCCGATACGGGTATGTAAAACCAGTTCCGCGCAATTTTTCTAAGTCCCCCTCGATTTGATTTTCGAACACCCCTCAGATTTACTGGTGGAAAGGTTGGAGTTTCGACCGTTCATTCGAGTTTCATCTCAACGGCCCAGAGAATTTCGCCCAAAAACGTTGGAATTTGGAGCGTCGGATCGATTTTCTCCTCAACGGCCAAGATCGGACGCGAATTTCGCCTAAGGGAGATTTACGCAACCTACAGAATTCGCGCTCGTCGATTCTACAGTCAACTTGACTCGCAGTAAGTCGACCAGCACCTAGAATTCGATTATTTTCGTCGCGCATCTTCCTGTAAATCACCAAATGGAGGGCCAAGGCGACAACTACGCGACTACGAGCGACATCGCGAGCCTCCGCACCGACATGGAGCAGACGCATGCGACGCTTCGTCAACTCGAGGCTTTTCTGACAAGCCAACCAGGGTTCGCCACCGCAGCAGCAGCGACCACAGCGACTGCAGCACCGACAACTCCAGCAGCAGTGGCGACACCGACATTTCACGGACCAATGGCACCACTGTCGCCGAACCTCGAAGCAGCACGACCGAGGCTCCCGGAGGCGTTCGATCCAAGCGCGAAGGGATCCGACGTCCGGCGATTCGTGGCCACCCTCGAAATTTACTACGAGGCCATTGGCTGTTCGACCCCGCAACACGACGCAGCAAGGATTCGGCTCACAGCGACACTGTTACGTGGACCGGCTCTTGAATGGATTTACTACACCGACGTAGCCCGTGGGGAGAAAACGTGGCAGCAGTTTCGGGCAGATTTAATCGAGCGTTTCGAACCAATTAATACAACCTACATGGCGCGGCAGCAGATACACCGACACAAGCAATACAGTTGTGTAACACAGTACACGCAGCAGATGGAGTTACTGTTCAACCGCATCACCGACCTGACCGAAGGCGAAAAAATCCAGGCGTACACCGAAGGATTAAAAATGGAGATTCGGCGGCAGGTGATTGCGGCGAATTACAACAGCTACAGAGACATCGTGCGTGCTGCCGAGCGATACGACGCGCTGACTCGAAGTCAACCCGAAACACGACGCTTCACACCGAACCGTACATTCGGCACGGAGCGATCGGCACCCCCCACGTTCACCGAACCGATGGATATCGACAAAAACGACGCGAAGCAGCAGCCGACAAAATGCGAATTTTGCGGCGCAGAAGGACATCAGTTTTTGTCGTGCTACAAAATGAAGAAAGCACATGCGGCACTCCGGGACGGAAACAGTGGAGCACCCCCGAAGTCAAAAAACGGGAATCGCCAGTAGCCGCGGATCGACCTGGCGATCGTGTAAAGATCCGAAAAGCAAGAAAAGGCGACGACGTGGCGACTTCGGAGCGGGTGAAAAAAGGAGAAAATGATGGCGCGAATTTAAAACGTCACGACCGGCCGGCATCAGGGGAAATCGCCGAGGCGAATGGAGGCTCCGCGAAAAAAGACTCTACACCGACCGGGAAACTCCAGCCGAACACCCACGAAAGTAAGAATTCGTTAAAAGTATCCTATAAAGATGCTCTAACGAAGAATATTGCTTCTCGTGGTTTACAAGCCTTCAAAAAATTCAGGGGAGGTCTAGAGGCCAAGAAAAAGCCTTTAGAAATTATTCAGGTACCTGAGAAGTTGGGCAAAATACTACGGAGCGTAGAGAAGGGTCGTGCGTTCCGTGGAGTTAATATTCTCTCCCCGCAGCACAGTGTTGAGGCTCCCCGTCGCCCACAGGTGAAGCCTACACAGCTGCCAAGGCTTAGAGGAGACATCCAGGCTCAGGAAAAATTATACAAGCCTCGGAAAAATCCTCCTACCCCCCAGGTGAAGTTGGAAAGCGCTGAGTCAGGTATAGGAAAAAGGGAAGGTATTAAGTTTGATGTACCCTATGATCCTGTTAACGAGACCCTCTTTGGCTACTCAGCACAGCAGAAACCACTACTCCTCGAGGTGTTATGCAATGGGCGACGCCTCCAGGCACTGGTGGACAGCGGTGCATCTCACTCGGTGTGTGACCGCGGAGCATTGGAGAAAATTGGAGAGAAGGCGGAAGAGACCCAGTTTTCAGCAACCATGGTGGACGGTACGAAGCTTCCTATCCACGGCGAAGCATCACTGCAGCTGCATATAGGTGCGTTGAGGTGGAAGCCGAAGCTACCAGTCACCAACATCAAAGGATTAGATTTTATCTTGGGGCGAGATTTCCTGAAGCAGTTCAACCCCGAGATCGATTGGGTCAACAGCAAGGTGTGCATCTACAACAACGGGAAACGAGTGGAGCTGCGAAGCTGGACGGATACACGGGACATACCTGAAACGACACTGGCACGGTTCGAACGGACGGTGAACAAGAGTAACACGGGTTACCTAGCACTGGTTATGGCAGCAGCAGAGGAGGAGAAGCCGAGTTCCGAGCTACCTGCAGCAGTGAAAGAGGTCTTGGAGCAGTACAAGGATATAATGCCCGACGACCTACCTGCAGGCGTACCTCCAGCACGCACCCACGAGCACGAGATCATGGAGGAACCAGGTGCGAAACCCGTCTCACGTGCACCATATCGACTGAGTCCGACTGAACTGACAGACATGAAAAAACAGATAGAGTATCTACTGGACAGACAACTGATCCGCCCATCCACCTCTCCCTACGGCGCACCAGTTCTCTTCACTCCAAAACCAGACGGCAGTCTACGGATGTGAATCGACTACCGCGCACTGAACAAACAGAAAGTCAAAAACAAATATCCCATACTGCGCATAGACGACCTACTCGATCAACTGCGTGGAGCAACAGTATTTTCGAAACTGGACCTACGATCGGGCTACTGGCAGATCAAGATGGCAGACAACTCCGTCCACAAGACAGCGTTCCGTACCAGATACGGCTCCTACGAATACTTGGTGATGCCGTTCGGACTCTGCAACGCACCAGCAACGTTTCAGGCGGAGATGAATCATATCTTACGACCCCTGCTGGACGAATGCGTGGTGGTGTACCTGGACCACATTCTCATCTACTCCAAGAACATGAAGGAGCACGTGGAGCATCTGCGGAAGGTGTTCGAGATCCTGCGGAAAAACAAGTTCTACGTGAAGCTGTCAAAGAGCGACTTCGCCCTGAAGAAGGTGCAGTTTCTCGGGCACATGGTGAGTGCCGAGGGCGTACACGTGGACCCACGGAAGATTGAAGCCGTCAAGAAGTGGAAAGTACCAGAGAACGTGAAGGAGTTACAGCAGTTCCTAGGCTTCGCCAACTACTACAACAGGTTCGTGCCGCAGTACACTAAGATAGCAGCGCCACTGACCGACCTACTGAAAAAGGATACGCCCTACAAATGGGATACCCTTCATCAGCAAGCCATGGAGCAGCTACAGACAGCACTGACTACAGCGCCAATACTCATCTTGCCGGATCCAGACAAGGACTACGTGGTGGAAGCAGACGCTAGTGACCAAGCAGTCCGAGCAGTACTGATGCAGGATCACGGACGCGGTTTACAGCCCATCGCCTACCTCAGTAAGAAGCTACACGGAGGAGAACTAAACTACCCCATTCACGACAAGGAAGCCTTAGCGATAGTCATAGCCTTCAAGGCGTGGAGGTGTTACCTAGAGGGAGCCAAGACTACAGTCTATACTGACCACTGCAGTCTCAAATACC